AAGGAAGCGTGTACAAGGAAGTGCTGCAAGCAGTTTTGATTGCACAAATAATGTTTGATAGGGCGCCGTGCGTCCGGATGCTAGGTCTTTCCTGATCCACGTTCCAAGTTGGAGTGAGCACACGACAGCCGGACGGTTCAAAATAAAACCTCGACGTCTGACACCGCCCCACGGCAGCTGATTGGCGCACGCCCGCCGCGTGTGTGGAAACCGTCGATCGATAATGGCCCCTGATTGGCGCACGCCCGCCGCGTGCTTGGTAACCGTCGATCGATGGCCTCTCCCTATTGGTTCAAGGGGGTAGGCGATCGCAGATGTTCTTTGTTGTTGTCACGCGCGGCCATTCATTAATATGGATGTGGGTTATCCCCCTTTTTGGTTTTCGTTTTCATTGATAAACACGTGCGGTTGTTTTAAATAGTTTGTTTGGGGTTTTTTTTACTATCAAAATATAGTGGGTGGTGTTGAGAAGTTTAAGATTTCCTAATGCATTTCCCCAAGTTCTGATCTAAATATATCGAAATGGTATTTCAGTTCTTTTTTATATACTTTCTAAAAAAACCATGTATTAATTTTTTTTATTTTTTTTTGAGGTGAGATTGCTCACGAATCGCAGGTGTCCGTTAGATGGCGTGGGAACTTTGTTTAGGGACAGGGTTGACACGAGCTTGCACGCCGCGGTGTCACTCGGCTTGTCACGAGGCATGACCCCTCGCGGCACGCGCCAGGATGACACTAACGGGATTGCTAGGTCTTGAAAGACGGGGAGCTTGGGGGAGGGGTAAGGGGGGGGGGGGTCACGATGAATATATAATTTAACGGGTTTAATCTCGAGAAAAACCTTTTAAATAATTTTGTTCTCTTATTTTTTTTTTCCTTCGACGATTCTATTATTAAATGGGAAATTATGTTAAAACAGAATAATTCATCAGTTCAATTGTTCAGATATAGGCCTACAGCCTACAGCACTGGGGTTGGCACGCGTCTGGCTCAAATGGATTTTTTTTTTTTTTTAATTATAAGTAAAATTAAAATAGGCCAAATATTTAATTCTATAATTTGTGATGGTTTTGTCGTAAATTATTTCTCTATTGAATAAACTAATTATAAGAGAGTTTGACTGCGATATATATATATTTTTTTTTTAAACATTCATATAACTTATAAGTATAAACTGTTTGTGTTTATTGAATAAGATGGATTTCTTAGGTCATGTTTATGTTCACTTCATCACTGTAAAATGTATGAACAGCTTGCTTATTTGTGCCGCTCCTATTGTTGTTGCCTTGCTGACTCTGGTGTTTCCTTGCTGACTCTGGTGTTGTCTTGCTGACTCTGGTATCGTCTTGCTGACTCTGGTGTTATCTTGCTGACTCTTTTGTTGTCTTGTTATGTTTTTGTCTTGCTGACTCTGTTGTTTTGCTGACTGAATTTGGTGTTGTCTTGCTGACTCTGTTGTCGACCTGCTGACTCTGTTGTCGTCCTATCTCGTCTCTCTCTCCCTCTCTGTCTCTTTCTCTCTCTCTCTCTCTTTCTCTCTCTCTCTCTCTGTATCTTTTTCTCTGTCTCTCTTTCTCTCTCATTCCTTATTACTTTTTATGATCTTTCTCTCTTTAATTCTATATCACTGTTTCTGTATCTCTCTCTCTGTCTCTGTCTCTCGCTCTCTCTCTCTCTCTCTCTCTCTCTCTCTCTCTCTCTCTCTCTCTCTCTCTCCCTCTCTCTTATCTTTCTTCTCTCTCTCTCCTTCTTCTGTTTCTTTTTTTTTTTTTTTTTTCTTTCTTTCTGTTTTTTTTTTTTTTTTTTAAACGGAAGGTGAAAACTGAAGGAAGCGTGTACAAGGAAGTGCTGCAAGCAGTTTTGATTGCACAAATAATGTTTGATAGGGCGCCGTGCGTCCGGATGCTAGGTCTTTCCTGATCCACGTTCCAAGTTGGAGTGAGCACACGACAGCCGGACGGTTCAAAATAAAACCTCGACGTCTGACACCGCCCCACGGCAGCTGATTGGCGCACGCCCGCCGCGTGTGTGGAAACCGTCGATCGATAATGGCCCCTGATTGGCGCACGCCCGCCGCGTGCTTGGTAACCGTCGATCGATGGCCTCTCCCTATTGGTTCAAGGGGGTAGGCGATCGCAGATGTTCTTTGTTGTTGTCACGCGCGGCCATTCATTAATATGGATGTGGGTTATCCCCCTTTTTGGTTTTCGTTTTCATTGATAAACACGTGCGGTTGTTTTAAATAGTTTGTTTGGGGTTTTTTTTACTATCAAAATATAGTGGGTGGTGTTGAGAAGTTTAAGATTTCCTAATGCATTTCCCCAAGTTCTGATCTAAATATATCGAAATGGTATTTCAGTTCTTTTTTATATACTTTCTAAAAAAACCATGTATTAATTTTTTTTATTTTTTTTTGAGGTGAGATTGCTCACGAATCGCAGGTGTCCGTTAGATGGCGTGGGAACTTTGTTTAGGGACAGGGTTGACACGAGCTTGCACGCCGCGGTGTCACTCGGCTTGTCACGAGGCATGACCCCTCGCGGCACGCGCCAGGATGACACTAACGGGATTGCTAGGTCTTGAAAGACGGGGAGCTTGGGGGAGGGGTAAGGGGGGGGGGGGCACGATGAATATATAATTTAACGGGTTTAATCTCGAGAAAAACCTTTT